AAAACTAAGGAAATTCCTTGGGATGCCCAAAGAAATGACGACATGACATTACTGAAAGACCCAACAATTCTAGAGAAATTGATTGCCCTAGATAATTGATAATCGACTACTGTATATTTGGTCAGAAAACATGCATGTCTTCCGACCATGGGCCGATATGGAGTCTGTACAGTAGATTATTTAGGGATGGATCTCTTCTTACTAGCAACAAGATCTACAAAATAGAAGCGAATGTCACCCTGAAAAAACAGGTCATCATTCTGTCAGGTGATGACAAGAACTGTTCCTGGAGGAAAAGATCAATCGAGACTTATATCCACCCAAAAGAACGACATGTGTTAAGCACCCAGAAGAAATAAGAGTTAAACAACCAAGACACTGTGATTAAATTGATTTCTTAGAATCCATGGGCTGATATGAGAGTAAGTCTCTCCGAGGGCCAATGTCTGAGGTAAAACAAAAATTTTTTTACAACCTAAGTGACAAAGGTAATTACAAGAAGGTGGAAAATTTTTTTCCATTAATGCGAAGAAAGAATTACAAGTCTTTATGTATAATACTAACTGGTTTTCCGACCAGGAAAAAAGAGAAAAACGAAGACCCTCATGGAGTTGAGACGCCACCGAGTAGTCGATCGATCCTCACTTTGTATCGCTCCCATTACCCGAGCAATCACCTTCCTTCGAAAAATCAGCAAGACCATCAGAGATCAAGGTACTGAACTAGGATGGGTTGAAAAACTTCAAGGCGACCAAGCCATGATGAACTTAACGCTGGATAACATACTTGAACTTAAGTTATTCCACCAACTCATCATGGGGGACGAGTGACTCTAATCTCCCCCTGAGTTTGGTGGCCCCCTTATTTATCTACTTCTCCTTTTATTCAGATTGCTGTTGCTTTAACCTAGCGAGGTCTCAACCACCTTAAGCCCTCTGAAGATCATTGGTCAGACGGACTACTTCTTCTTGGGAATTGAACAGGCTCTCCACGGCTGTCTTCATAGAGTCCGCCTTCTTCATGTAAGTAAGTCCAAAAAAATGAGAACCTTGACTCACTTCCAGTACGATCAGACGTCATTCTCAAGAAGCCCCTTAAAAGAAAGCCCCTTGAGCTCAACCTGTTGTGTTGAAGACCAAGTCATTTCTGCCAGAAGAGGTGACAAATGCTTAATGTTGACCGACATGGGATGCTAGTCTTTTGAGACATCCAACACGCTGAACCAGTCATCGACACTCATCCATAACCATCCTTCACCCCCTTCCAGTGAGTGTCAACTAGGTTCACCCCTTTTTCTCTTCAATGATGGGAGGATTGGAATGTCAGTACTTTCCCTTCTAGGTGGATAGTTTCCCCCTCCAGAGACAATGAGAATTTATAACTAGAAGAAGAAGCAGAACCCTCAAAGTAGATCCGATCAGAGTGGCAGAAGGAGGCTCAGCCACCCTAACCCTGTCAACCAATTTCAAGTGATTGACATCGAGTTAGGAATCCAATAGAGAACCTAAGACCGCCTTGATTGGCTCAATAGTGGAAGGATCTATAGCCGCAAATTCCCTCTGAGTTTCCTCACAGCCCATTCTCGCTCCCTCACTTTGCCCTACAATAACCGAATGAAATCATGTAATTATGCTTAACTCACCAGTCACGATGTCTTGAATGATAATCATGGTCTCAGAAACAGCGGATATGTATCACCCAATACCGGGGTGCATGACATCAAGAGTGGTATTTGTCATAATTTTTTGTCAGCAGAGAACAATCTTCAACTTCTGTTGTTACTCTCCCTCCATCGCTTTTTCTCTAGCAGATTCTTCATCCTCCAAAACCCTCCATTCACTTGGGGTCATCTTCCCTTCCATTACTCATTTCACAGTCCTTTCCATTGTATATTGAGAGACTAACATTGGAATCCCTTCCAGCACCTTCTGGACGGCCTACAGTTTGGTTGGTAAGGCTTCGACTTACTGCCTGTCACCACCAGCGGGTGGGTGACAATCTACTAGTGGCCAAACATAGTGCCAATTAAGAACAACTTCCACTAGTCCTTGATGTTGTTTTCAACACTGAGCAAGCGAGCTTTCGCCTGGGCAAAAACATTATAAACTTCTCTTTATCTATCTTAAATGACAAGTAATGGCTAAAAATGTCGACCAATTTGGGGAAACTGAAAGTGCAGCAGAACATGATGAAGGTCATAATGGCCTCGATGGAGTTTGGCAAAATTTGGGTCGGAATGACCCCGTACTTGATAATCACGCTCTTAAGGTTCGCCCATAAGGGCAGCCAAAGAACATATTTAAACTGATCATAGTAGAGCACCGGATCATGACTAACATCATATGTCAGATGCCCCACAGTTGACATCCTATAGAGGGTAATCTTGGTACATGATACATACCATTCCTGAAGGCTCTCCACCTCTCGGTCCATCGGGAATGATGTATTTGTTGTCGGCCTGGTACCGAAGTGAATTGATGTATTTGTTGTCGGCCTGGTACCGAAGTGAATTGGAGAATACTTTGAAGCCATTACAGTCGAACGAAAAGAATGAAAGATAAAAAAGAAGAAGAAATCAGAAAACTTGGAAATAAGAGTGCAAAAGCTAAAAAGAGCGACCCCTTAACCTATTTATTGGGCAAGCACGTAGATCGAAGGGCGGCAACGAAGATAAGTGTTGTGCTAAGTCTAGTAGGCTTGGGTCGATCATCTTTTTTCTCATACCACCAAACATGATGGCTACTCAACAATCCAAAAAACATTGGTAACAAATGAATAATCCAATTTATGGCCTTATTTATCAATCACGCATGGCATAAAAATGAAAGGAGAACTAATTATTAACATTTTATTTATTGGTTTCCATGATACAATTAATTAATAATTTTCATTTCCTTATCATAGTTGTTGCCATCAAAGAGAAAGAAAACTCAGGGAATTAATATGTTACGATAGTAAGGTGAGATTTCATGGGGAGCGAGTTCTTCACAGTGTGAGGAGTCCCCGTTGATGCCTGTCAAGACGATTGTGGATTTATCAAAGCTGGTGGATGAGTTAGTATTTGATTTTGTGCGTGAAGGGCTGAGAGGTACACGGTTTATATGAATGGTCACACCACTATGTTGGACAACACTAGAGGTAATACAAGTACCAGCACTAGTATAATGCTGCTCATGAAGAGATGTACTAGAGGCATGGTTGGCTTTTTGGACTAGACCCATCGTTATATCTGACAACACCACCATTTGAGATGAATGAGCAGAACACGAAGCTGATGAAGGTGGACGATGCTGATGAAGAGAGTTAATTGTGATGATTGATTGTGTGTGAAATTTATTTATATTGTTTTTATTGTATTTGTGATGTTGGCAAACTGACTATTGCATTCATTATTTATGAACTTTTTGACCAACTGACACTATTATAATTATCAACTACGAACTATGTGGTCAACTATTACAGTTATAGCTTCCAACTATGACCTTTGGGGCCAAATGATGCTATTGCAAAGACCAATTATGACCTTTATGACCAAATAATGATATAATAGTCAGCAACTATGACCTATGTGACCAACTAAATTGTTGAAGTCAAAAACAACAATCTTTGTGATTAACTATAATATTGCAGTCACCAACTATTGCCAATGTGACAAATGATGCTACTTAAGTCACCAATTGTGGCCTATGTGGAAACTTGACGATATTGTAGTGACCAACTATGACTTGTGTGGCCAATTGAAGTTATTGTGCACCAACTATAACTTATGAGGCCAATTACAACTATTACATCCATCACCTTAGCCTTTGTGACTAACAATCACTATTATAACTAAGAACTACATTTATTATAGCCTATTTTTATCTATTTTAACTACATTACTATTGTACATATATGATTATCAGGTTTGTAATTTCATATTCTTTATACCTTGAGCAGAGTGTACTTATGCACTTGCTCCTCCTACTACTTCTCCTTTATTTTCGTGAGTGTCAGATCTTCGAGCAATACTAAGATATTAAATTATCACTCTACTAATGTAAATTTTCCATCGCACAATGATAATGTTTAATGATCAATATATTTTTTTATTATAAAAGAGTAAAATAATCACAAATCATTCAAACAAACATTTTATATAATGACAAGTTCAATTAGAAAAAAAAAATATTATATATCTCAAAATTTAATGTTTTAGAGCAACACATTCAAAAATTTAAAATAAAATTTAATTTTCAAAATGTCCCAACTTGAAGAACATTAATAAGTTGATTAATGTATATCATTTCATTGAAACAAATTTTTTGTCTAAATAGAATTTTCCACAATTTAAGAAATTATTTTAGGCGGGGAAGAAATCTTAATAAATTTAATAATAAAATAAATAAATAAATAATATATTTAATGGATAAAATTAAATTAAATTAATTTAAAATTGATTTTTATCAAAAAAAAAATAGAGAATTACAATTAGATTTTATTCATAAAAAGCAAAGATTTAAAATAATATAAAAATACATTTTATAAAATAAACTCAATCCCATCATCAAAATTTCATGATCTAAATTTTCCTATAAAAATATATATCGAATCATCCTCTCCTCTCCGAGAGTCTTCATTCTTTCTAATATATATAGACATATACACATGCATAAGGATTTAACTTACATAAAAATGACATTTGTTGTAATAATTTTTTGCAATAATTTTATATAATGCATAATTAAAAATGATGTAATTTAAGCTAAAAAAATAATCCAATTAAGAAATATTAGATTGCCAGACTATGATATGGCAGGTACAGTGGATTGCAATTTCATTGCAGTTACTAGCATAAGTTTTGACAACCTGTGCTGCTGACTTGGCGGGAGATTTTCTTATTTTTAGAAGCTGATTATAAAGTTAAAAATGTCTGTAAAAGTGTCCGTGCCGCAGTTCCCCCATTTAATTGGAGAATGTTATTTCTTTAAACCCAAATTTCATGGCTATTTTTTGACGAAAAGAAATTAAGAAACTCTGACCACTCCTCGCATCCGCTCGCACTCAAGGGCTCGGCCCTCACGCGGTGGGAATCGTGGAAGCCCTAAATTTTAATATTTTAGTTTTCGTTTCTTCCTTGCTTTGGCTCGCTCCACCACTTCTCTCCGCCTCCACCCTCCAAAAGTTAGGGTTTCCAAAGATTTTTAGGTTGCTTTTTGCGAGGGTCCTGGGGGGAGGATGCTCGTATTACTGCGTCGGATCTCCATGCGCCGCTGGTCGAGCGATTTTGTTGATTGAACGGTTGCGATCGGCGGGACTAGGTCGACGGAGGTCTGTTGAGTTTGCGTGAGTGGTAGCGGATGGAGACCCCGTGGATGGGGTTGGGCTGAGGGCAACGAGGGTGTCAGATGGCATTAGGGGATCGGATGGCGTCGCGTTTCTCCCAGTCGTCGACTTCTGTGTCAAGCCACCTTGATGAGTTCTCCAGCAGAGATGATGGGGATTCCTCCGGGCAGCGGAGGGAGTCGGATGCGGTGGCTGGGGCTAATTCATCTCTGGCAGTGTCAAGCTTGGCGTACTTACCGCAGACGGTTTTTCTGGGCGAGTCCAGGCATGAGGGATTTGAGGAATGCGTGCCCATGGGGCCTTCGGAGAGTGGGTTGGTCTCCAAATGGCGGCCCAAGGATAGAGTAAGTTCGTGGCTCTCTGTTTGCTTGCTGCATTATTTAGGGAGCCTGCTAATCGATTGAACGTCATAATTTGAATTTTATTGGAGCGAAAGTGAACATATGTTTGATTGCCGAGACAAAACTTTTTTGCATGAAAGTCTAGTTTGCTTTCTTCTCTGGATTGGTTTGGTATTTGTTAGATCTGTTTTCCCCACGAAAGAGTATATCCTTCTTCTTCTTCAAGTTCATTGCGTCGCTTTTTAGATTTATTTTGAACAGCGTCGGTGGTAAATTCGTACTGGACTACTTGCACACCTTTTTTATTTGAGCCTTCTTCACCTGCCTCGCATCAAATATCACTTCTGACTGCGAGCTATGTGAAGTTTGTGGCATGATTCTCAATACTGGTTACATTGAGAGTCCAAGGTTTCTCTACCGAGGCGACGATGATGCAATTACAAGATGTAAATTTTTTATAAAACATTTATTTGGTTTAAATAATAATTTTCTCTTTTCTAAACATATAGGTATTATTGGTTTTGACTCTGTGGCATGAAAAACTTTAAAGTTGCAACCTTAAATGCTGTGATGCTTGTCAGTAGTTTGCTATTATTGCAAACTGCCAGCATCCTAATAAGAGTTAGACAATTCAATTTTTTTTCCTGGTCTGACCATTAATTTTGCAATGCAGATGAAGACTGGCTGTGTGGCACTTGTTGTGTGTTTAAACATTGGTGTTGATCCTCCAGATGTAATTAAAATATCTCCTTGTGCTAGGATGGAGTGCTGGATAGGTAAATTTAACTTGTAGTCAAAAGAAATTTTTTCCATGTTATGAATTCTCTCTTTAGTCGGAGCTAATGCGTTTGCACGTGGTTTTTAAAAGAGCAATATTTTCTGATCAGCTATGGGGAATACACTAGTAATATCCACATTCAAATTTGGATACATTTTCATTAACTTTTCATGTAAATTTTTCAATTTGCGCTATTGATTGAACATCAAACTTTCTCATTTGGACTTGAAACAGACAATGATAGTTTTAAACGGTATCAGTTTCTTGGGCTGAAATTCTTATATTTTCTCTACTCCATATGTTTTCACAATGCAATAGTTGTATGCTTTTTATTTTATTTTATACTTGCATAAAATATTTATTAGTTGAAATTTTTTTTCTTAAATTTTTGTTGGAGCCTAACAAGAAAAAGTATTGGCATGGGTTGGTTTTGTAGTTTTCAGTTATGGAAAATTCATTTATGATGTTATTCATGTTCCTGTTGTTATTGTGGCTTTTTACTCATTATTTTATCAAGATTACAAATATAGATGAGTTATAAAAAAAAGTAGATACTAAGGTAGTAAAAACCTATGTAGAGAATTCATTAAGGGCTTATTTGATATCACTTTTTGTTTTGATTTTTTTAATATTTTGTTAAAAATTTGATAAAATATTTTTAAGTAAGATTTTTTAAAAAATAAATAAAGTTATTTAAACAAAACATTCAAAATAATTTATAGTTTTTTTTAAATGAGCTTTCAACTTTTAATCCATGCTAATCACACAAGTCAGCTTTGCGCCTGCCACTAGTAACCACAGCCCAAAATTTGCAGTGGCCAACCTTGCACTTAGTATCGCCAATCCTCCGGGCAGCGCTCGCTGTTGGCCAATCCTACACTTGTAATTGGTCAAACCCACTTTTGTCTCATGCGAACCCAACTTGCTCGCATGGCCTACCTCCCTGTTGCTCACAATTACCCCATTTGCGTGCCTAGCTGTGACCAACGTTGTCCTTGATTGTGCTTGCACCTAGTTGGTCCATGCGCAGCTTCGACTTCACATTTCTTAGGACCCATGCACCTTGCCTGGTCTCATTCTCTCAAAGTAAAATTAACATAAAATAAACCTATTGTTATTATACCAAATGTATTTTTATTTCGTATAAAATCATGTAAGAAAAAGAAATCATAATTGCAAAAGAAAAATCGAAATGAAAAGCAATCCCCAATGACTTTTGTGGTAAGAGATATTAGGTTTGGAGACACTTTTAACTTATTAGGTACATTAGTTACCATGATAAAATGTTTTTAATTAGAGGTAAAAAACGTAATGGAAAGATTGAAATGCCACTACTAGAAATTATTAAATCTAAGTGTCAATGAATAAATTATTTTGGAAGAATATAATGAATAAAATAATGAGATATGCTATAGAATGATCCACAAAAATAATGTTGAGTTAGCTCAGAAGTTGATGGATAAAGTTAAAAAAATTGATCTATATGTGAAACTTCTTGGGAATATGTGAAGGGTGTTGTTGTGGCCGTTTGATTTGGAAATTGTTTCAATGAAAATATGAAGACTAAGAACATGTCAAATGATAAGAGAATGAGTTTTTTTTTTTTTTTTTGTATATATTTATTTGCAAGCAAAGGAGATGCACAAGAGTGTGGTAATTATGAAAGAATTAAACTTAGAATTTACAAATGATATAAAAAATTACAAAATTTTCCATGAAGCTATGGGAGCGAGTACTGTAGTATTAAAAAATGTTTGTATAAGAGAATAAATTAGATTTCATTTGAAGATAATCCATTACTGAAGCAGTTTTTGTGTTAAAATGATCAGTTAAAGGGTATAGAGAGTAGGGAAAAAAAATTATTATGGGGTTCTGATGACCTTGAGGAGGCTTACGGTTAAGTACCTCAAGAAGTAGTTTGATAGACATTAAGAAATGGTGTGTTGAATATAAGTTGAATTTAAGTTATGTATGATAGTAGTTGACTGGCATTAATGGTAACTGAGTGGCCAAAGAGTTTGCAATCTTAGTAGGGTTGCATTAAAATTTATTCAAATTAAGGTACTTTTGTGTATTTTTTTGATGAGATTATTCAATTAGATGAGACATCTGTTATATTGAGAAAATAAAGGGGTTATGATTGGTGAAACAAAGTATATGATATGCAAATTTAATGGGGTGATATTAGTAAGTATCGACCAATTTTACTAGATTATAAATTGACACCCTTATATAATGGGTATAACATCTTGTTTCTTTATACAAAAAATTTGATATGGATGAGGATATAATTTCTAGTGTTTAGTTTTAGCGAGTAAAGTGGAGTAATGCTTTATGAGTATTTTGTAGCAAGTGAACAAATTGTGTGTTGGATTGTAAAAAATTCATTGATATGCACGTTGTTCATGATAATTGAGAATTCTATGGTGGCTATGTGGAAAATCTAGTAAGTATGTAACGATGCAAATTTATATTTATAGGCTTAGTGGGAGTGGCGTCTATTGAAGATAAGGATTGTGGATGTTTGAACTGGGTGGTTAGGATAAGAGTTACAGAGGGTAGAAAATGCACATATAAGATCAGTAATTGAATAAATTTTGAAGGATTGTGAAGGGTCATAAGTAGACTTAAGGCAAACATGATTATAATTTGTGTAAAATGATTAAGCATAATACGATTAATGCCTATTGTGACACTCAACACAAGCTAATTAAGCACGAACATTCATAGATCGGCTTCATGTAGTTGCAACAACACCATTGATGATACTTGCTACATGTTTTACATTTTCATTGATTAATGAAATGAATTTTTTCTTGATAATGTGCATTCAAAAGATTACATAGTGGCTTGCACCGGTTTTAAACTTTTGGTAATTCTTTCAGCAGAAGGAAGAACATTGCACTTTGCATTATTTGAAATATCACTACATGTCCAAATAGTGACATAACAAAAATTTGATTATGATATATGCTTGTTTCTCACTTTGTAAAGCAAATCCACAAGATACTTATTTGCTGCAAGTCATCATGTTTGTTGAAAAAAATGTGGAGCCTTTTAGTTATTCTGTTTGCTATTTCAGTCAGAAATGCTATGATGATGTGGCATCTGCAAGAGAAGTTTAAAATGATCTAAAAATTATACAAGCTAATGTTGTTTTACTTTTCAAAGTAGTTATTGAATTTTTTAGTAACACTCCTAATTAGTATTTTACATGAAGATAGTATAATTCTGTGATAAATTAACAACAATATGAAGCTTTATGTGGAAATTAGATGAACTGCAGTAACAAGGCCAAGTTTTTTTAACCATGGCATGATTAGAATGGTGATGGCAGCTGATTTGTATTTAATAGTGCATTGTTTTTTAGTGCACTACTGCATTAGCTGTGTTGCTGTCCATGGAAGTCTTTTGGGTCCCATTAGCAATGTTGTAATATGAGTTTCCATGCTCTAGTAGAGGGAATTCCTAGGCTATCCTAACCGTAGAAGGAAAGGGCCATATTTAGGTCTTTTGATACTTTATGTGTTTGATGTTGTTATGATTATTAGATTTGCATGCTTGTTTTGTTTTTTTTTATTTCAAAGATATAATTCATTTCTCGTTTAAATTTTGTCTGAGTATAGATTATAAGTCTGTATTGTTGAATATTCCTGTGGTGTATTTTGTCATGTATTCCTTCAAAGCTATTATAAAGAAAATAGTTTTGTTAGTTCTTTGCATAAAGGTTGGACATAGTCATCATCATTAGGCTTGTCCCAACTAGTTATGGTTTGTTTTATGAATTCACATTCTAATGATAAGGATTATTTATTTTGTTAATACTTATCCTATGGGGTTAATCCTTCTCAACTTTTCTTTAATTATCTATATTATATGAGCTCATAGTTTCACATCTTTTTTTTCGAATGTTCATCTTTATCATTGTCATTTTGTTGTGATCTTCATCAACATAATCATCTTTTTAATTATTTGCTGGATAAAAACCACAGTTGATTTTTTCACTTTTGATAGAAGTGATGACTTGTTCTATATTATAAGAACTGTGTTTGGTGGGCATGGGATATGGCGCATTCTATATTCATATATTGCCCCAGGGGTTTTCGGTAATATTTTTCTTCTTCCTTACATTTATAAAATCTCTGTTTGGCTGAAAATGTGAAGAATTTCTCTGCACTGGATGTGTACCCTTTCCACGGTTTTGACAACCACGAACATCACACTTATGGGAGGTCATCCATCTATGCAATCGGTTCTAATACTTTGTTTGCATTAGCACACAAATTAATCCAAAAAATACTTATTTGGACTTTCAGCCGCTTTTTGTGGAAATTTAGTAAATTTCTTCTGAAATTGAGAGTTTATTTGACGCACGGTTGAATAGTTTCTTTCTGAAATTGATAGATCCATTCTCTATGACTGCGCCAAAAGCTCTCGAGACAATTGGAAAAAGTTTGCAGGTTCAATATGAACGGTGGCAGCCTCGGGTAAGAATGGTTCTCTTACACAAATAATTCTTATCCAACACAATTAAAGTTTTATGTGCTTATTATGCATTAACATATGAATTACTCCAATACATAACAGGCTCGTTATAGACTTCAACTTGATCCTACAGTTGAAGAAGTGAAAAAGCTTTGTAGCAGTAGTCGAAAAAATGCTAGGTCTGAGAGGGTTCTCTTCCATTATAATGGTCATGGCGTGCCAAAACCAACCGTTAATGGTGAAATCTGGGTTTTCAATAAGGTAATGTTCATCTAAATTTTTTTGAATCATACTGCCTTAATTCTTTTCTCTACTAGGACTTGTTTGTTTGATAGTGTGGTTTATTCTTTGTTATTCTGTAGAGCTATACACAATATATTCCGTTGCCAATAAGTGAACTTGATTCCTGGTTAAAGACCCCATCAATATATGTTTTTGATTGCTCAGCTGCAGGGATTATTGTAAATGCTTTTATTGAGGTAAAATGGTGCCATCTCAATTCCAGTCTTAGTTGTTTCTTGTGATTCATTCTATATTTTGGAGTCCTTGGTTGTTTCTTGTATCACGTGATAATTTTTTTTATTGTCAACAGTTGAACTCTTCTGGTTCATCAAAGGATTGCATTTTACTCGCTGCCTGTGAGGCACACGAAAATCTTCCACAAAGTGCTGAATTTCCTGCT